GCTGAGACTAGATTAAAAGGAAACTTGATGCAAAGGGAGATAGTCACTTTTTTTGCAAGCATCAGTGTGCATCCTGTGGTGTACAACATGGTGCAGTGCTCCTGAATAATGAAAAGTTCTGTAAAGTTTTGTACGTCTTGAATAAAAACTTCTGTTACCACAAAGAGACACAGCGTCCCACCTCCCTCTTCCTGACTGTGTATTAATGCAAAGGGCATCAGAAAGCACTGGGAACCCAGTCCTCTGGAGAATCAATGAGTTAATGCAGGAGAATGCCACATAGAATGCTTAGACTTGCATGACGTTTCCTTTACATGGCTTTTCATCTCAATGGTGGGTTGTGGTGTCAGAGTGAAATCTTAGATGGATATTTTTGTATTCACAGATAGTATTGCTTTTGATTCCTTCAGAAGAAACAGACAACAGTGATCTTGTCATGGAAGTAACTGCTGGAGTTGGAGGACAGGAAGCGATGTTATTCACCTCAGAGATATTTGATATGTATCAACGATATGCTGCCTATAGAAAGTGGAGTTTTGAAATACTAGAATACTTTCCCAGTGAAATAGGTCAGTAATGAAAATACTTAATATTTGTGACTTTTTAATTTCAGTTGAAACATTTTACTCAGGACACTTGAGTTTCCTGTCTGCAGGAAACTGATTTGCACTAATTTGGTTTTAGAATTAGAGATTATTTGAATGTTTTTGTATTTGAGAATGAAATTTCATTTGAAAAATAGTGCTAAATACTAAAGTACAAAAAAATAAAATTTGTTTTCCAGTAGCTTCAGAAAAGTAGAAATGAAACTAATTGTTTGGAATGAGGAAGTTCAGAAAGTGAGGCAAATATGTTTCAGCTTTATTTTTTTTTACAAATACAGGTTAGATACTCATTTTTATTGTGTTTGGATATGTTATTCTATTTAGTTACTTGACGTTTCTGGTGCTTGTGGATCAGTTTGGTGGCAGGCTGAATGTCTGTTCATTGTTATGGGTTCCTTGGCAGAGAGAGAAAAACTGTATAATTGAAAGTATTCTCAGTGTAGAAGTAGTTTTTTTTTCCTTTCTTCCCTCTTCCTTACTTCCTCTGCACCTATCTGAAAAGTCCTACCATTTTTTGTTTTGTCTGTTCTGATGTCCTTTCACTTAGAATGGTAAAGATTATGCTTTTTTGTCTGGGATAGTTTTTTGCTTGGTTAATGAGGTAAGTCAGCTCTCATAAGCACTAGATCTAGCATAAGATAAGCAGCAACATGTGGCTGGATGCAAGGAGGTTAAAAAAAAAGTGTCTTTTCATGATCATGAGCTGTTAGCTTACTGCATCTCATGAAACTCTGTCTTTACAAAGATGAGGTTTGGTAGGTTTACACGACAAATGAAAGTCCAGTAATGGCATGTGTTAACATATTAATTCTAGCTTAATCAAGCTAGCCTGCAAGGTTGTCTCACAGAGATGAGGCTGCTGTCCTGTCCCTGCGTTCCTCTGACTCCTTTCCGTTGGCACTTGTGATTGTGTGGCTATGCAGAGATTCAGTCACCACGTTGATCTGACTGGAAAACAGCACACACAAACGTGATTAGTTTTCAGGTGATCCAGCACAAGAGGAGAAGAGAAATGCTCATGGAGGGCAGTGAAGGCAGAAATGTGTGGCTGGTACGGGTGACAGTGAGAAAACCAGGACCTCTTCTTCCAGCAGCAAGAGTCTTTGAGTTAAAGCCAGCTGTGAAACTTCAATCCAAGTCATGGCAGTGAACATGAGGTGACAGGGATTTCAGGTTTTGACTGACAAATTGAATATTCAGCCATGGTAGATGGCTGAATCTGGCCAGGCTAGATTTGCTGAGTCTGAGTGTGTTAACATATCTGCATGCTTACTGATATCCATGCTGTCATTAGTAAAGCTGGTGCATTTTGCTAACCTACATTTTCCTGTGGAGGAGTACATGTATTATAATAGGTATGGATAAGTAAAGGAGCACTTGTCCAGTTTACTACTCCTGTCTCAGACTGGTTAGGAAACTTTAACCACATTTGTACTTTCATCAGCATCTTTTTTTTTTTTTTCCTTTTTTATACTGATAGGTAGTTCGTTTTTAGTTTTACTTAAAGCTTATGCTTTGATTCTTAATACTTCTAATGAATAGGTGTCAATGAAATGTAATCTGAATTCACCTAATTGGTAATGTGAGAAGTAATCATTCAAAAAAATACTTATTTTTAATTGCAAAAAAATGAGGGAAACAATTTGCATGTGAAACTTTGTCAAAGGTGAAATGGAAAAAGCTAAGTTGTTAGTATGTGTAATCTTTTAGAAAAACTGAAATGTCTTTTCAATCAACAGTATTAATATAAATGCAGAGAGATTTTAGCAAACTTTGAGAAATAAGAAACATCTAACACATCATCTATTTGCTTATGCCATATTTTGGACTTAATGGTACTCTCAAATATTTTGAATCTTTTCTATTCCTACCCTGTAGAAATTCACAAAAAAAAAATATCCACAACTCTGCTAACAAATCTTCTCTTCTCATTGAGCTACTTGTCCACTTCTAGTGAGGATCTTTCAGTCTTGTGCCTTAAGACCTTTCTTGACATCAAGTAAAGTTTTTGATTCATTGTTACATACTGAGAAGAGGTTCAAAAATTGGGCTGTATGGGGCGGTAGAGTAGAATATCACAAATTCAGAACTTGAAAATGTAAGTACAGGTTTGATTTGCTCTCTATATTCACACTTCAGAAAAGGGAGGCTCCTTTCTTTATCTGTTACCTATGCAGATATGCTTTTGTCAAGCCAACGGGCTTACTTTTCAGTGATTATAATTAAGATAGAGTTACTGATTTCAATTTAATATGGATTTCACTTCTGGATTCTTAAAACCCATAATAGAATGCAATAAAAACCTTCTTTAGATTTCTTTTTAGCAGGTAACTTATTCCAAGTTCAACTTTTTGAACTTTTGAATCAGAGCTCTGTTTTTCACCATTCCAAAATTTCCATCTAGAGCAGCTGCTGTTAATTCAATTAATACATTCTTAAATTCTGTGAACTTGAATTTACTGTCATTTATTACGTAGACTTGTTATCACTAATAAACTTTTTTTTTTATAGTCAGGAGGTCATTTAAGTAAACGGTTTGCACAGCTTAAGTGAAGGTAGAGAGAAGATGAAGTTCACAGCAGCTGAAAGGGAAAGTCGTGTTTATCCCTATTTATGACTAGGCAAACATGACCAGAAGCTGAGCCAATTCAAGCTACTAAGCCTGTAGAAGTCTATTAACTTTTTAGCAAATTAAATTGTCATAGCAAGGTTAGATAAGTGTAAATGGTTTATGGGGAAGAGGCTTGAGTCCTGTGCATTTCACCTGCCCAAGAAGGGGATGTGGAAAGGAAACGAAGGCCATCCTTTCCAGTGATGGCAAACTTTAGATCAGATAAATGCAGCTGTCACATACAATTTCATCACCGTCAGAGCATAGTTTCACAGTCAGCTTAAACGACCAGTTGCCACCTTCCTTCCAGTTGCCAGCATTATGTTCCTTTCAGCTCTAGCGATTTTGAGACCACTATGCTAATTGGGTCATTCAGCTGATCTGGCTTGAAATCTATCTATTGTTATTGGACAGTTTTAAGCTGAGTCAGATCTGACTCAACTTGCAGTTCTGTGATTGCAAGAGAAAGGGTGTGGTGTTTGACTACCCTTTTGATGAAAGCTCATTCTTAGGTGGACAATGAACCCACACCCTCTGAGGCATTCTTTCTAATACCTTAAATTGGAAATTGGAGTAATATATTAACCTCGTTAACATCCTGCCATATTTTCTTTTTGAAACTGTTGGTTTCTGAATGGATACATATTTACTGTAAACTATTTTGTCTTGCTGATGGCTTGCCTGTGCAAGGAGATGAATATTTAGGAAGCTAGCTATCAATTTAGAGGAAAATAAAGGCAGTTCTATCCTCTGTATGCCTCCTGCAGTGTATTTTCTGATCTTATTCACTTGCATGGCTACATATTATCAAAAACTGAGGGGCTGGGAATAAGTTGAGAGGTAGGGGACTATGGGAAGCTCTGCCGCTGAAAGACATGTTTTCCAGGCTGAGCCCTCAGGTTCAAAGCGTCTTTGCTGTGTTTAGGAAAGACTGAGTTGAGGATATTTGCTGGTGATGCTAGGCTGTTGTGTCCCATCCACACTCAATTTTTTATGGACTGCATGAGCAAAAGCATGGGTCCTGCATTAAAATGTCAAGCTCACTCACTTCGCAGATCTCCGGAGTTTGACTAAAAGTTGAACGTGATGAGCATGTGTAAACAAGGTGGTTGTTAAGCAAAGCTGTAAGTAAGAATCAGTTTGGATCCACGCTTAAGTGACATTATTGTCCTATCCCAAAGAGTACCTTTGTACAAAATAACACATTCAAGATTTAAGATGCACATTAAACACAAACCTACATCACTACTTATCCACTACTTCCAGCCCCATAGTGGCATGCAGAGCCATAGATGTAGGACTTTGTCTCAGTCTGAGTATAAGCTGCCACATAAAAAACAGAGTGCACACACCTTGCTCTGTGCACATCAGCTTTTTAGGATAGAGAGGAACATTTTAATTAAAAGAGGTCAACATACACTTGGCAACAGCTAAAGAAGTAATGTTTGACAGGCCTACGATGCGTCTGCCATGTGAAGACGTTTTGATAAAAGGTTTGTGTAAATTTCATTGGATTTCACTGCATTTCATACTAATGCTGAATTTACCGTATATATTGGTAATCGTGTATCTGAAACAATATGTCCTAACTATATTTCTTTTAAACCAGTTTCTTGGGCATCTCATGCGAAGCACCACAGTGTTACAGACACACTATAATCACTGCAAACTTAAGTTCTCTCGAACATGTCACGGATTTGGCTGCAGCTCAAAAGACAGACTGTACCCCTGATATATATATCAATGCCAGGATAAGTGAGGGAGAAAAGACAGAACATTAGCTGTTGCTATGAACTGCTTATTACACAATTAATACTTGTCAGGAGTGCCATAGCATTGTGGACATTGAAATTATTTTTACTCTGACATTGCCTAGCTTCTTCCTCGTGTGCAGAGGTTGCGTATTATGTTTTTTTTAGTACTTGCTTTTTTATGTAAAGCAGTAATTATGTTTCAATACCAGCATTGTAGTGAACTACATAAATTATTTTAGGTTGTATAAGAATCTTTCAATTTAAAGAGGAATCCTTTTGTTCATTGGAATGGTATTTGTATAATAGTACAAAGATTTTACAGTACCCATTAGAATGAAACTTACTGATTTAAATTGCAGATATTGGCAGATATTCTTACTTGTTAAAACACCTGCTTTATGGCTATATTTATTCTAAATATGATAGATTAATCTTGCAGAATAGTAGACAATGGCTTTAAATGAAATCACTGAAGCATTAAGTATGTTGAACATTGCATTCGAATCAAGTGGTACAGATTTGTGCAAGTAGAAGAAAAATTTTAAAAATCCTGAGAACAAAAATGAGATGAAAGAGAAAGAAGCAGTAAAGGCTATTTTGCAGAAACTTGACTCTAAAATGAAATCTGTTTTAGGAAAGTCATGGAGAGCGTTAAGTTTAAATAGAACAAAAACACTTACAAACCTGCTCAGTAGAGATGAAAAGCCTGGCTTGCATCCTGACTGATGATTTTTCTCATGCTCTGGATGGCTTTTCCAGATTCTGTGTTGTCTTCATTTTCATTTTTAAAAAGCTGTTATCTTGTCCCCATGGTACAAGGTTGTCGATGCAGTCGTGCTTTACCTAGTCTGCAGATAGCCTGAAACAGTATTTCTGAGAACTATGTGCCTGCTGTTTTCCTCAGCTGTATTTTCATGCTGGAAGAGTTCAACAGCAATAGTCTTTCAAGGTATTCTGTCTCCTCTTCAATTGCTCTCATTGCAGAGCATCCCTTGTACTGAGAACTGGATCAAGAAACTGATCTGGCTTAAAAAACAAAACAGGCAAAAAAACTATGTTGTTTTAAAGCTTCATCGGTTCTTTAATCCCTCAAGCAGTTATACTAGCACAAATGAAGAGGGGTTTGCACACTAGCACAAAAGGTAGAGCAAGAATACTGTAAACTAGGATTGCATCGAACTCTCTTCTGTCAAGAAACTACAGTTATATTGGGTTTTACTTTCAAGTTCCAATTCTGACAGCTCAATGCTAACTTCTAGTGTATTGCTGTCAAGTGTTTTGCTGAATGTATGGGTAAGAGGGGTAGGAGTTGGAGTTCTGCTCATTGTGAAAGAGCAATAGACTAAAATGAAAGAGCAAAAACAAAAGAGGATAATGGTAAAGAACAAAGAGTATAGGTAATAGTCGTCCTTAGGTTAAAATCTTTGAATGTTCTGAACTTTCGGAAGGTCTTAACGTTACCAAGTGTGATAAGGTTCTGAAATAACAGTAGACAAATTTGATATAGTTTTTGAAGGTGGCTTTCAAACTGTGATCTTTATGTAAACTTCCTGCTGGTGTTAGTGAGAGTTCTACTATGGTTGAACGATTGTATATGTACATATGTAGTTTCATGGCTCATAAACAATCTTCTTATGTATATAGATAAGTTGAATTTACCTCTGTTAAATGAATTTGATAGTCCTTTATTTGAGAAACTGTACAGGTATGTATGTTTCTGTTTAGAGTTTTCTTGTTTTTGGATATAATTCTAAGCATTTAAATGGTGAATTCCTAATTTTGTTTAGGAAATGAATGACAATGATGTCTACATACCATGCTAGAATTATAATAGCATAGCATCAACAGTTTTTTACAGCTTTACAACTTTTTTTTTTTTTTTTAATTTAAGGTGGCCTAAGACATGCAGTTGCCAGTATAGCAGGTCTGGAGGCTTACAAGTACATGAAATTTGAGGGAGGAGTGCATCGTGTTCAGCGGGTGCCAAAGACAGAAAAACAGGGACGCATTCACACCAGCACAATGACTGTTGCAATATTACCCCAACCCACTGAGGTAGTATTTGTATTTTAGTATAACTGATTTACTATGAGAAATGATTTACCTGCTGTTTTGCTGATGAACAAAATGTTTCCTATCCGTGTTTTGTTAATTTTTCTTAATGGTTTTTTTGAATCTTAAAATTTAAAGTCATTTTCTTTTTTTCCCTAGGAAATTGAGTTAAGGAACTTCTGGATTTCCTCAAAATCCTAATCTCCAAAAAAAAAAAAGTCACTGGCAATTAACTTAACTATACCTTAAAAATTCACTGTAACTTTGCCTTGCATGTTTTGTGGAAAAGTTTAGATTTTTGACAAAGACTGAATTAGTTTACAGAGCTCATAGAGATTTCTTTTAACACCCCCTCTTCCTTATTTTTATAGTATCTACATTTCCCCCTTCCAAAGTATATGGCTGATAATATCTTCTTATCATATTTGCTTGGTTAACAAAGACTGGAAATCAGAGCTTTGTTGTAATTTTTATCTCATGTGAACTTCACAAACTGCTGAATATGTTATTTCTTCCTCTGCTCCCTAAGATGACTCAGTCCTTCCTCCCAGAAAACATAATTCCTTTCCAAAGCCCAGACAAGGTAATATGTTCCATTTTAGCTAAAACCCATCTGGTCAAGTTCAAATATTGGTTAACTCTGCTGCGAGCTCTGCTGTGCAGAGCTTTCAGAAGAGGGGGAAGATTGATACTAAGTGATGGTTATGTCGTAACTATTCTTTGACTTCCCTGCTTCCACGCTGTTGCATTCCAATCTGGTTATGAAGATTTGCTGTATTTGTTATAAATGGGTAGGGGCTACCACTCATAAACCTAAAAAGTGTTTGACCTTGCCTGAATGGGTTTTATAGAATAAAGCAACTATGCATATTTGATGTCTATGTAGAAAGAAAGAACGTAAGCGTGTTCTTTTGCTTTATCTCCCACGACAGATGAGACTGCAAATTAATCCAAAAGATCTACGAATAGACACTAAGCGAGCTAGTGGAGCTGGTGGCCAGCATGTCAATACCACAGACAGTGCTGTACGGATAGTTCATATTCCAACAGGTAGCTTAATTTTTTCCTTAGTACATGATCTCCATTTTAAAATTACTGTCGTAATTACAATGCAATTTTTTGATCATCAAGAGATCTAAAAAGTAAAAACATCTTTGTATGTTTTTGACTTCCTGAATTTCTTCGTAAGACTTACCATACAAAAATAAGCTAACTGTAAGAGGCCTGATGAACCAGCAGTTCCCTTTGGAAAATGTCTTTAAAATCTACATAAATGTAGTTGATGGTGACTAAATCTCCACATCACAAAACTACTAAAAATTTGAGAACAACTATCTAGTTCTTTCTTCTTAAGTACGCAACTAAATTAACTGAATGTCGGAAATCAAGACTGAAAAGTCCTGGAACAGCTATCAAGTATAGAAAAATAGTTCCCAAATGTTTCTTTTACAATTTATCATTTTTTAATCTTTATAATACTTTACAAAATAAAAGACTATGTATTTAGCTGCAGGTGAGACTATCAAGGTATTGGTGTGTCCTATTCACAGAATCACAGAATCGTTTAGGTTGGAAGGGACCTCTGGAGATCATCTAGTCCAACCTTCCTGCTCAAGCAGGGACCTCTAGAGCATATTGCCCAGGATCACATCCAGACGGGTTTTGAATATCTCCAGGGAAGGAGACTCCACTACCTCTCTGGGCAACCTGTTCCAATGCTCAGTCACCCTCACAGTGAAGAAGTTTTTCCTCAGGTTTAGGTGGAACTTCCTGTGTTTCCGTTTCTGCCCGTTGCCTCTTGTCCTGTTGCTGGGCACCAC